CTCCGATCTCACTTCCCACGTCTCGCAGAGCAGCGATAGAGCCCGCTGCCACTGCTCGCCTTTCGTGCACGCGCTGATCCCAGAGCTGTAGCTGATGACATTCGGCTCCGATCTCACTTCCCACATCCCGCTGAGCAGTGATAGAGCCCGCTGCCACTGCTCGTCTTTCGCGCACGCGCTGATCCCAGAGCTATAGCTGATGGCATCTGGCTCCACCTTCGCCACCCACATCTCTCTGTGCAGTGAGAGAGCCCGCTGCCACTGCTCGCCTCTCGCGCATGCGCTGATCCCAGAGCTGTAGCGGATGACACTTGGCTCCACCCTCGGCTCCCACATCTCGCTGAGCAGTGGGAGAGCCTGCTGCCACTGCTCGCTGTTCGCGCACGCGCTGATCCCAGAGTTGTAGCTGATGGCATCTGGCTTTAACCTCACTTCCCCAATCTTGCAGATCAGCGATAGAGCCCGCTGCCACTGCTCGCCTTTCGTGCATGCGCTGATCCCAGAGCTGTAGCTGATGACGCTTGGCTCCACCTTCGCCTCCCGCATCTCGCTGAGCAGCGGGAGAGCCTGCTGCCACTGCTCGCCGTTCGTACACGCTCTGATCCCAGGGCTGATCCCAGAGTTGTAGCTGATGGCATCTGGCTCCGACCTCACTTCCCACATCTCGCAGAACAGCGATAGAGCCCGCTGCCACTGCTCGCCTTTCGCGCACGCGCTGATCCCAGAGCTGTAGCTGATGACATTCGGCTCCGATCTCACTTCCCGCATCCCGCTGAGCAGTGATAGAGCCCGCTGCCGCTGCTCTTCTTTCGCGCACGCGCTGATCCCAGAGCTATAGCTGATGGCATCTGGCTCCACCTTCGCCTCCCCCATCTCGCTGGGCAGTGAGAGAGCCCGCTGCCACTGCTCGCCTCTCGCGCATGCGCTGATCCCAGAACTGTAGCTGATGACACTTGGCTCCACCTTCGCCTCCCACATCTCGCTGAGCAGTGGGAGAGCCTGCTGCCACTGCTCGCCGTTCGCGCACGCGCTGATCCCAGAGTTGTAGCTGATGGCATCTGGCTCTAACCTCACTTCCCAAATCTCGTAGAGCAGCGATAGAGCCCGCTGCCACTGCTCGCCTGTCGTGCACGCGCTGATCCCAGAGCTGTAGCTGATGACGCTTGGCTCCACTTTCGCCTCCCAAATCTCGCAGAGCAGCGATTATGCCCGCTGCCACTGCTCGCCGTTCGTACACGCGCTGATCCCAGGGCTGATCCCAGAGTTGTAGCGGATGGCATCTGGCTCCAACCTCACTTCCCATGTCTCGCAGAGCAGCGATAGAGCCCGCTGCCACTGCTCGCCTTTCGCGCACGCGCTGATCCCAGAGCTGTAGCTGATGACGCTTGGCTCCACCTTCGCGTCCCACATCTCGCTGAGCAGTGGGAGAGCCTGCTGCCACTGCTCGCCGTTCGCATACGTGCTGATCCCAGGGCTGTATCTGATGCCATTCGGCTCCAACCTCACTTCCCGCATCCCGCTGAGCAGTAGTAGGGCCCGCTGCCGCTGCTCGTCTTTCGCGCAGGTGCTGATCCCAAAGCTATAGCTGATGTCACTTGGCTCCACCTTCGCCTCCCACATCCCGCTGGGCAGTGAGAGAGCCCGCTGCCACTGCTCGCCTCTCGCGCGTGCGCTGATCCCAGAGCTGTAGCTGATGACGCTTGGCTCCGCCATCACCTCCCGTCCTCCTCCTCCTCCTCCTCCTCCTCCTCCTCCACGTCCTGACTCCCTGGCTCGCTGCCGCTGCCTGCTGACGTCGAGCGCGGTTATCTTCGCCTCCTCCTCCTCCTCGACCTGGTCCTGCTCGTCCGCTGCCTTATCCTCCTCTTCTATTTCCTCCTCTGCCGCCTCGCTCTCCTCCCTGGCTCGCTGCCACTGCCGCTGCCCATTTTTCGCACGCGCGCTGGCCCCAGCGATGCAACTGATGACGTTGGGCCCCAGTTTGGGAATCAGCAGCGCCACAACCTGCTGCCACTGCTCCCTTGTCTCGCAGGCGCGGCTGGGTCTGGACTCCAGGCGGGGGCGGGGCGGGCGGGGGACGGAGGACGAGGGGGCGAGGGGCACGAGCCGGGCCCGAACGGCGAGGGGCGAACGACGCGGGGGAAGGGGGCGAACGAGACGGGACCGAGACGAGGGGACAGAGGCCGAAGGAAAGGCGAGGGGAAGGGGCGGTGGGCGTCGTCGGTGCGCGCCGTCGTGCAGGTGCGCGTCGTTGCTGCTGGTCGTTGCAGGTAGTGCCCGTCGTTGCTGGGGGTCGTGTTGCCGGTCGGAATTGGTGCTGGTCGCAGTCGTGGTGGTGCTGCTGCTGGTCGTGGTCGTGTTGGTGGTGCTGCTGCTGGTTGCGGTCATGATAGTGCTGCTGCTGGTCGCGGTCGTGGTGCTGCGAGTCGTAGTCGTGGTGGCGTTGGTGGTCGCAGTCGTGGTGGTGCTGGTTGTGCTGGTGGTGCTGGTCTTGGTGGTG